TATCTCTCATTGATGTTTCTATCTCCCTCTCCCTCACTCTCTGAAATCAATAAAAAACTGCTCATTGATTGCTCAGCCCCATGCCAGCCATCCCCCACTGGGTCGAGCCAGATGCCAGTGATCCACACCTCTTGTACTTTGGGAAGTGCCCACAGAGAGGGCAAACCATTTGTTCTGGGTCACACAATACAGAGGTGGCAGACAGGCCTCACCCTCAACCACGATATCCCTCTTCCTGACCCTGTCCCTGGCAGCTACCAGGGTGTGCAATGGGCTGCTGTGAAGCAGAAGTGTTGTGAGTCTAGCAGACTGGAATAAGTTGCCTGGGTTCAGATTACAGTATTGCCACTTTCTCCCCATCAGACCTCAGCCAAGTCACAGCTGTGTGATCTCCTGGTGCAGTCCCCTCCATGCTGGTACCAACCCTCGTTTCCCAGTGGCAATGGGGAAACCTGGAAAAGCTATACAGAGTAGCCTCCAAGCCCCTCAACTCAATTTTCCTGATCAGATTCCAAAACTTTTCTAGTTTCATCCCTCCCCCTCCACTTCAAAAAAAAATTTGCACTCCACAAAGTACCATGTTTAAAAACTTTCTAAACCAAGGGACCAACAAGAAACATAAGTGTGTGAAGCACTTCAAGGGAGAGTGTGGGTCCCACAAAAAGGGGCCTCTGCTACTCTATTTGAGGCAGTGGTTGCCAGGAGGAATAATAGGTGGGATGCCAGATCATTTTCCATTTTTCCTTTTTTAGAAGCCAGAAATGTAATTTTTTAAAGCAAACTGTATGAGTGTATTAACAGTAGGCAGTTGATTCAAAAGTTTAAAACATATCACAGGCCAAAGAAAAGTCTGGGCCAGATTCAGGCCTCATCTGCCCTTCCCGCGCGCACACAGTTCCTATGCCCAGCCAACCAAGAGCCCCTCTATCGCAGGGCCCATAAGTGACTCACACAGATACGGGATGAAAGAAAATGGTCCCATATCTCCTATTCACCCCCTCCAGGCCTTGTACATTCTGTTCCCTTTGCCTCAAATGTTCTCTCCCTCCTCTACGAGCAAGTTTCTACCAATCTTGAGATATGCAACGGTCTGTGTCAGCTCCATTTTGAAGACCTCCCTCATCACTGAAGCAGAGTCATCACTCCCTCCTCAGACTCCCCCAGCCCTTCCCACCACTAGAGTCTCCTGGAGACAGAGCCTATCACTCAGAGGCCCCAGCATTGCCAGAGCTCAGAGTCCGGCACACAGTTGGCCTCAGTGGGTGGATGCGTTGAACTGATTAAAGCCCCAGGTGTCTCTATTCTCCTGGTCCCTCTGGCCCTAGAAAGGTGACAAGTGATAATACCTTCCCCTCCATTTCAAGAGTTAAGGGAAGCTGCTCTCCTGAGTCAACCACTCACTGAAAATCATGAAGAAGGTATTTTATTGAGGTGATTGGGAGTGCTGCCCCTAGCCCAGCATTAGTCCCCTTAGTATAGTCTCATGGGTGGAAAGGACCAGGCTCTGGGCTGCTCTGGGCCACTGTATAGGAGAGGTTGGGCAGTGGGGCAGGAGGACAGGGACTCCAGTCAAGGGCAGAGGTTCGGGGAAACAAGGGGGATGGTAGCTGAGGCAGGGACTGTGGTGTGCTGACCCCACAGGGCCAGGAAGGGGATGGTGTGGCTACTAGCCAGATGCTTTTCAGCAGGTCAAAGGCTGTTGGGGGGCCCCAGGCCACCGGAGATGTCGAAGGCAATGTGGGTGGCCAAGGACCTTTTGGTGGTGCCAGGCTCACCCTGTGTGTAGTGAGAGTGCTGGAGGTGTGCGGCATAGCAAAGGTGAATTCCTTTGTCCCCTGTCCTTCTCTCCTCCTCTGCCTTCCTTCCCCTGGGGCCTGCTCAGGGCTGTTGATCCTTCGTCTCTCAGAGTCCCCAGGCTTGGTCCCTGGCATAGAGGAAAGAAGCATGGGGGACAACTGAGCTAAACAGACAAGGGGAAGGGGAGCACAGGGGGCAGGAGGTGAGCTCACCTGACAAGGATGGCTGGCAGCCTCGGAGCACCAGGGTAAGGTCGGGCACACAACCATGGCATACCTGTAAGGTACCCAGGATGGCATCCCTGGCCTCTTGTACTAGGTTCCTCCTGGGGAAGGCCTGTGGCAGAATCAGCTGGCCCTGCAGCTCCCCCAGCAGCTGCCCCAAGCCAGGGAGCTCTAGGGGACTAGGTGGGCCTGGGCCCAAGTCTCCGGGCACCTGGTTCTCCTTGCCCCTTGACTGTGGGCCTGGTTCTTGGGCCCTGCCTGGGCTTGGGGAAGGCTTGGTGGAAAATGTGGGAGTGTCTGGCTCCAGGGACCCACTGCTCAGCAGCCGTGTCACGTCCAGAGATTTCACCTCATGGTTGAAGAGACCCCGGTGCTCCCGGCTTAGTCGGCCCTGAGTTATGACCACTAGCTTGGGGGCAGTAGGGGCCACACGATCCTGGAGATCCATGGGTGGATTCCGACTGGCCACAGGAGGCTCCTGATGAGCCAACGGCCGGCGGCTGCCCACCAGGGCCTCATTACGCTCCCGTCTGGTCTTCCGACGGCGGACCCGACCAGGTTTCTCAGCTCTCTGGAAAGACTGTGGGGCTGGCCCCCGGGGGTCCATAGAGTCCTGGAAAATAAAGATAGGGTGGTCATCGGTATACAAATTAGGGACCTAAAAGTGAGTCGTGAGAAGGAGATAGTTTGGGGTGAGGTGGGAGACGATATGAGAGAGGGAGTGGGCAGAAAGGGATTGGAAAAGGCTTGGGTGCTCGCTTTGGCAGCACATATACTAAAAATGGAAAAGGCTTGTTCTGGGAAGAAGTCACAGGCATAGGGTGGGATCAAGGGAGTCCTGGGGAATGGGAAGACTTGTCAGGGAACACCAGAGGAGTTACAGGGAACAGGGGCACGAGGAAATAGCTACAAGATGGAGGATGGGAAAAGGATCATGGGTCCCTGGAGAATGCAGAAAGTAGAGAGAGATGGTAGAAAAAGAAAAGCAGAAGAAACAGCAGAAGAGAAGTTGTACAGAGAAAACCTTGAAGACACTGAAAGGGCGACAGCGGAGCTATGGGGGAGGGGGCCTGGGGCTTGGTCGCGGGGGTTGGGAGAGGTGGGTTGGCGAGGTTGCGAGGGTGGGGCGGTTGAAGTAGGAACCGGGAATATGGCTGGTGAGGTAAGGATGGGGGAGGAGCACCTTACCGTCTCTTGCCCCCGACGAACCTGGCCCCTTCCCCCCGCCCACCCTACCCCACCACGCTGTGGGGTGCAATGGCTTCTTTTTTCCGAGGTGACCCCAGTTCACTACGCGCCTAGCGCTCTTCCGGCCTCGGGCCTCCTGCGCATGCGCGCGCCCCTTCCTTGCCCTTTGACTAACTGCTGCGTCTTAGAGGTTTGAGGCTCAGAGGCACGTGCCCAG